CAGAGCTCAGCCTAAGATAAGACCACATCGCCCATAAGCTTTGAGATGAGCTCCGCCAAATTGAAGCCAACTGTCGGGTAAATAGTTTGCAATAAAAGCAGCTGAAATTGCAACTTTTATGATTTAGTTTCAGCCGCAGGCCAAACAACTAGGATAAAAAGTTGAGCACGGCAAACGCAATTGTCGTGTCAGCAGCAACAGGCAGCAGCAGCAGCAGGAGAAGGAGGAGCAGCAGCAGCAGCAACAACGAAATTCAAATAATTTGATGAGAAATTTTTAATTAACCAAACGCTCGTACGTACATACATACATACATTTATTGCTGCCTTTACACTGGTTCTGTGTGTGTGTGTGTGTTTGTTTTTGTTGGGCGTTGCTCGCCGCAAAACGCAAATACTACAGTCGAGGCAAAATTAATTTGCCCAGTGCAAATACTATGCAAAAATTCCCCACTGTGTGTGTGTGTGTGAGTGAGTGTATGTGTGTGGTGTCATAAATTTTACAGCTGTGCGAGAGAAAAACCCCAACCATGCCAGCCAAATAACACAAATTTTTCGCTGACGAGCGAGCAAAGTCAAGCATAGTGCAAATATAAACAGAGCCAAACTCACACACACACACACACACATGCACAGTGTGTGCAGTGCAAGCTGCTGGGAGTTTCAGTTCCAGTTGCCAAGCTCGAGTCGCAGCCAATTGCCACAATGAGGCGGCGGCGGCTGCTGCTGCTGCCTCTGCTGCTGTTGTGTGGTGTTTCCAAGAAATTTCACCTGCCATGGCAACCCTAGACATCCTACACACACACACACACACACACACACATGCATACACTTGCACACTCGTGAGCACATATTTAGTGGTATTATGGCCTGGCTAGCTTACGTCGTAGCTGACGTCTATGACTGCCAAATACTCCCAGTGCCATTTGCCACTTGCCACTTGCTGTCGTCAGTGGCACAGCCACATCCACATCCACATGCACAGCCACATGTATAGCTATAGCTATAGCTAGTGCCGCTGCCAGTTGCAGTTGCTGGGAGTTAGTTACCCAACGGGCGCTGTCATAAACAATCTCATTTTGCTAGCCAAGTGAACCCAGTGAACAAAATTAATGAGACAAGTTGCTGCAACTAGGGCAAGTATGGAGTTCTCAAAACTAATTAAAACATTAATTGAAATTGAATTTAACCCACATAAAAACAAGATAGGTTTAGTGATAGATAAATAGATAAATTAAGTGATACTTAAGTTCATTTTTTTCTTTTGTTTTTTTTTTCATTTTATTTTTATATTTTCATTAAGTGTTCTATAAATGCCATTGATGAAGTTCATATATAGAGTTGCTCTTAACGTAACCTATAGACGATTTATATGTAGGCTTGAATACAAACTTGATGTAATTCGCTGGCAGCTGAAGCCTTTGGCTTATCTACATAAGTAGTGTTAGTAAAAGTATATATAGTATAAGTAAAAGTCTATAATATATGGTATGAGTAAAGCTATCAAAGTCAGCTGCTGTCACAGCGAATATAATATATAATCTTATTATGGTTTTTTTTATGAAAATTTCAGCTAAATAATATTGCGATTTAGGACTACCTCAAAACCAGCTTCAGTCTCAGCGATTATCTTTGCTTCGACGCTAATTATTCTCTGGACGTGTGAGGATAAGATAGCAACTCTGGTGGCCACTTCTGAGGATTATTGCCGATGCAGAATCAATTTGATATTCCATTTTGCCACCTTTGGCATTCATTCGTGCTTTTAGACGATCTTGAGCTCAAATTCGTATCCATTTATACATTTAACTTGGATCTGATAATGATGTCATTAAATTGTTAAACAATAATAATGCATAGGCTCGACGACTGCTATTAGGTTACTGTTCTTCATATGCAGTACATATACTAAATTAATTGAAAAAAAGATCCACTATGGAAAATAATTTATAGCTTCATCTTACAATTAGACCAAAACCTTGCCAAATTTTTAAGTCAATTTTAATTTTATATCAACTTTAATGTATAGTAAATAAATTAATCTTAATTATCAATAGTTTCACATATTTCCAGGTATACCTCACCTCATCATCAGGTACATATATCTCGGCAAAAATGTTCACTGGGTAACCAACTATTACTACTACTGATGCCCAGCTGCATATGTGTGTGTGTGTGCGTGTGAGCATCTCTGCGTGGGTGTACTTGAAGCTTGCATATGTCTCTCTCTCTCTCTCTCTCTCTCTATCTCTCTCTCTTTCTCTCTCGCTGTGCCTGCTCTCCGCTCATTATGCATAAATTGTCGCTGCGCTAAATTCTGGCAAAGTTAATGGCATCATAATGCCCAAGCCTCGACTGTCTGGCAGCGCGGTGAGCGACAGAGATGGCAACAGAGCGCTCTGGCTGTATTAGCCAGCGGCTGTCGCTTGGCAGCTTCATGAAGTGCTGCCTGACAAGTTAGCCCCCCTCCCCAAAAAAAAGGAGAAGAGGCTGTCGATTGGGGGCAGAGGCGATGGCAGCAGACGCTGTCGAGGCCGTTGCAAATGACCCTCGTTTGTTAAGGTTTAAACAACGGGT